GGGTGTGTGTGGGGCGGGGAGCGGGGGTCTCCAGCAGCCGGCTGGGAGCTGCAGCGGCTGCCGGGTCGGGGTGCTCGGCCCTCCGCGGGGCCTCACCGGCGTCGGGAGAGCGGTGCTGCCCTGCAGCACGGGGAGGGGACGACCCCGGGGGACCCCCCGCACAGCGGGCGGTGTTTTTGGGGCGGGGGGGGGGGGGAACAGCGGTGCTGGAGCCGCCCTTGGTCCGCGCACCCCCGGGCCCGCCTCCGTTCAAGCTCCTCTTGGACTTCACGAGCGGTCCCGTGTCGAAGAGTTTGTGCGAGTCCAAAAGCCAAGCGCGTTGTTAATCAGGAATTTCAAAAGGAGGTCCGGCTTCTGCTGCCGCTTCGGTGGAGTCACTTGAAGAGAAAGGCCGGAAAAAATGCTGCTTTGTTTTAGCGCTTTTTCCCTGCACGCTGATGGGCTTGTTGCTAAAAAGGTTAAATGTGCTCACATCCCGTGGCCTAGGATGGTGCTTCTGTTGTGTTTGGTGATTTTTATATTTTTTTTTTTGTACCGTGTAAAGGAGACACTATTTAGTTTGGTCATTTATACATGAATGCCAGTTTTCTGAAACAGAGTAAAATAGTGGGGTATATTCATATTTCTTAAGGGGAAAAATATATATACTTAAAGCCTTTAATATGAAGATGGCATAAACCTGAGTGTTATTTCACAGCTATTTAAGGCCAGATTCCATGGAAAGTATATTCATTTTTCAAAGAGACACTCTTCTGTTTTTATTTTAAAATTGGCAAGCTTTTTGGTAATCAATGGTAACTAATAATTGAAGTTTCAAAGATTTGGGGAAGCAAAGGCATAATACTTAATAGCATGATATTCTTTTGTCTTTCAGAAGTACAAATATAATGTCAGGTGGCTGAAAAATTGCCTATCAAAATGTCAAGTAAGTTTTCGGTTTCTTCTTCCTTTAAGTTGGTGAATTAAAGATCTGGTTCAGCAGAACATGTTTGTGAGATAATCTTATTATTCCTTACATTAAAAGGAATGATATGAAGTGTAGTCATTTCTGACCAATGTCTTGGCCTTAAATCTTGCTGTGGCTGATTTCTGGCATGTTGTTTTCATAGGAAATCCAGATATCACAGCTTCTCCTAAATACTGTTTTGCTGCATTTTTGCTTACATTCTTTTTAATTGATGTGCACATAAACGGATTTCATATTCTTCAGTCTTATGCCTGAATAAAAGGCTAGCAATATAGCAATGGTGTGGTCTTAAATTTTTTCTTTCTTTTTTCTCTTGTGTTCTTTGCTTTATGCTTTTCAGTGGCAATATGCAGTCTTTGAGAGTAGGATTTCTGTCTTGTTTTTGTAATCACTTAAAAATGTTTGCCACAGCAGATGCCTTGTAAATAATTTGTTCAAATTTACAAGAAAAAAAAAATTTGCTTACATTTATATCTTAACAGAAAGGCCATCTTATGCCCCACCTCCTACCCCAGCTCCTGCAACCGTAAGTATAGTGATTTTTCTCATTAACACAGAGCTGGTAATACAGCCTTTAATAACTTACCAGAGCAATAATTACTGACTAGCATCACTTTCCTCTATTGGAAACACAAACTAGTTGTATTTCATTATTAACGTGATATGCATTGTTTAAATGAATCTCTCTCTCTCTCTCTTTTTTTTTTTTTAGCAGTTTGTGAAAGAGAAGCTGAATAAACTTATTTCACCTTTAAGGCTAGATCCTGCAGATACTTTTCTGCAAGCAGTCAGTTGGTCTAAAATTATTCACAGTGGGTTCCAACAGTATACTGGAATATTTAAGAACAAACTGATACATTTAATTCTAAAACTTCCCACTCAACTTGTGCCCAAATCATGGGGAAACAGTGCAATTTTTTTCATGTTTCTGTTGTACCTAGCTGATTCTCAGTGGCATGCAGGAGTATGCAAAATGCTGTTATATTGGGTCAGAATAATGAAACGCTCATGATGCCAGTCTTATTCAAATTTCTTGAAATCACTGGTATTTTGGAGTCTATGGCATGAGAAATACACTTTCTAGTAAAATGGTATGGAATGACACTGAGGAAAACAGGAACAGTAGCTTTGAATCATGCTGAGCTACATTCCTGCATGTATAAAAAGGTACTGAAATACCAGTATGCTGTGGTCAGGAAAGCATTTGAAAGCAAATGCACCTCTTTTGCAGCATTCACATTTCAAAATAGCTTGTATTTTAGGAGTAACATATTCACATGAGAAAATATAAATCTTTTGTACAGAAGAAAGAGCAAACATGCTACAGTGAAATTTTTTTGCCAAAGAAAATTTGAAAACTGTTATCCAGTAGAGTGTCCCTGATCTCTGCATCTGGGATGAAAACTGGAGGATGACATTTATGCAGATGAAATGTGATGTTTCAAATTTATTGTGCCATACTTTCCATTTAAAGAGGTTTGAAAATTTTAATGTATAAATATAAACATAAAATATTATGTTCTTATAAATTTACATAAATAAAACTTTATTTGCGTAGTTTGTTCAGAGTTTTCATTTTGCACAGAACTTAATAGATTTGTGCCAGTATTAGAAGGAACATGATGGCATCTGCTCTTACAACTGGATTCCTGCATCGAGACCTGTGCACACGTGTGTGTGATTCCCTTGGGATGTAGCATGAATACAGATGTTAAGTGGTGTATACTGATGTGGTACATTCTTTAGTCAAGTTAGAAGTCTTCAGAAGGGTAACTGAAACAAACTTCAAAACCACAACTAGTGACATGCATTACCTCTCTTTCAAGCATCTTCTGTATTATATTTTATACAGTCCTTGAGATGATAGTCTGTGCTCTGTTAATGCAAGTCATAAAAGTAGACAAATAACCTTGCTTGTTCTTCCACAGCCAGTTCCAGTTACTACAGTCAACAAAATACCAGTAGTTCTCGTAACTACAGTATTATAGCTGAAGTAAAAAATTCTCCATGTAATGCAAGGTAGTTCCCTTGTAACATTTAAATCCTGTCTTGCAGAAATAAAGAATTAAGCAGACGGAGATTACAATTGTCATCTGATTTTATTGAAGAGGTGTAGTTCAACATATTCAAAACCTGTTGTTATGGTAATACAGAAAACTATAGTAAAATGGTGTTTTATTAAATAGTGAATGTGTATGTCATGATCACAGGTATACAGATTGAGTAAATGTCAACTGCTGTGACTGAGCTTAAAAAGTTTGGCAATAAAATATATATTTGAAGGCTGACTGTTAAAGCATAATTTTACTTTGTATGTTTAGAAATAAACTAACTACAGTGTGTCTACATATACTTGAAAGCTTCACAAGTTAATGTAGTTTAGCTTGTAAGTTATTTTTGTTCAGTGTCTGTATTTGTCATACCTTGGTTCTTAGAGTCCTGAACCTATCTGTAGAATTTTTGTAACTGTAATCTAGGATGGGTCTAGTCAGCAAATCACTTTAAAAGACTATCTGAATATGTGTTTCTTATTAGGGCCAAAGTGCTACTGAAGAGTGGGATGCTGTGCAGATAACACTTAAATGTCTAGATACACTACAGGATATAATGAATCCTAGTGGAATGATAGGATCACCCCCGTCAGGGCTTGATCATAATTACTATTAAATAGTTGATCAATTTTTTTCCCACGAAATTTGATTGCGAAGTGGGGAATAATGGAAAAAGGCAGGAGAGACATTTATGTGAGGAGGGGAATACAGTGAACCTTCTGATACTTGATTGTATGTAGAGGATAGGTAAGAGGGGGTTGTAAAGAAACTGGATTTTTTTTCTACGTTACTGAGGTGAGAACAAATTGATCCACTTTCAACAATGAATGAAGATGTATTGGTTAACTTCTTAAATTGTCTTGGATTCAGTGATCTGTTAAGGCTTGTTTGTGGTTTCTAACCTGTAGATCTTACTGCAGTTGTTGCTCAACTCTGTCAGTCTGCAGCCTACCTCATAACAGAAGGATATCTCTGTGAATTGTCTTCTCTCCCAGTTGTCTAATCCCAGTTCCCCAAAGTATTTAGATTTTGCAAACCACCAGAAAAGTCTTAAGATACTGGTAGTGGTGCACAGATGGTGCTTTGAGAGATTTCCCACCACTCGCCCCATCCCCATTTATTGACAGTATAATGTTTGTTGGGAAGGCAGAATGATGGGAAGAAAAGCAGACAGGGGGTTTCATTGGTATAGTAAATGTTGATACTGGCGATTCCTGCCTGATTACTGTGTGATGTGTTGCCTTGTAAGCTTAACGCTTTGGATATGAGAGTCTGAATTACTTGGCGCCTTATGTTGGAAAATTTTATTAGCCATGAGCTGGATTTAGAGAATACTTATTTAAATGAGTTACACAACAGAAGTAAAATCACCAACTTCAGACAGAAATTTGTAGTGACACATTTGCTTAAAAATCCTGTTTCCTTAATAGGCTTATACTGGAGTAAGTTTTGTGTGTTGAGAAGATACCAACTGCTACACCTCATTTGCTTGTTTAAATTCTGGTTGCTTTTGCATGCCATATTGCAGTTCACTTTCATTTCTGTGTTTTCCTCGTTTGAGCTCATTTCTCATTCGTGTTTTTGTCTCATTTGTTTCCATCAGCAAATGCCCAGCACACCAGGGTTTGTGGGATACAATCCATACAGCCATCTGGCCTACAACAACTACAGGCTGGGAGGGAACCCGGGCACCAACAGCCGGGTCACGGTAGGAGAATCAACTATTACATCATCCGGCAAACAACAGGAATTGACCAGAAATGGCTTTAGAGTTAGGTTCTTCTGAGTCTTGGCTGCTGCCACTTCTTTATAAAACCAAAAAATTACTTCTGATTCTTATTCCCCACCCCTACCCCCCTTCCCTTTCACTCTGAAACCTTTTGCAGGAAAATGGACTGCTACTCAGCAGAGAAAAAAATGTGGTAATCACATATGATGCAGAACTCCAAAAAGACAGACTTTGTGGTCTTCATTGACCACTGCATGCTTAGGGAAGAGTTCTATACCGTGGGTACAAATTCTTGGAGGGAGGGAACTGCTCATTTTATGAGGTTTATTGGCACAAAAATGAGGAAGAAAACTTTGCAAACTGGAGATCGTCGATAGTAGTTGCATCATACTATTGAGCCATACAAGAGATGCAAGCCTTTATTTTTCTTTCCAGTCTTAGTCTGGTAATATCTGCAAACTCCCAAGTTCAGAAATTATTTTTTCAACAAAAGTGTGATGATAGTAAAATAGAATCCTTTTGTATCTTATGTACTCTGTCACTGTGTGGAAAATGGATGTTACATTCATTTTTCATGGAGTTAACAAAGTGAGATGGAGTCAAGTGATGAGAGAGGTGACAGCTTCTTTCAAATACAGATAAAGTCCTGAGCACTGGATGCAGTTAAACAAAAATAGACAGTGGAAGTGTAACATTTTCATAACTAACACAACAGAAATAGAATAAATCCCTGATTTTTTTTTTAAGTTTCTGTAATTCTCATAACTTTAAGGTTTTTCATGTAAAACTTTCTGCCTCAAAACATCTGATTAGTTTGGAACGTGATATAAAGATTTCTCAAGGAATAAATACATGGTACTTTTAATGAAGTGTACTCTTTTTATGCCTCTCATAAACCTTCTTTCAAACTTCATCTACGAAGTTCATCTGGTTTGTTAAAATGTTTAGAGAAAAGACCTTCCCCATACAAGCTGGAACTTGACTGAACGTACTGTCTGAACATAAACTTTTTTCCTTATACAAGAATAAATTAGGTTTTGTCTGAGAACTTTCATTGTTTCTGTATGTCATAAGCATACACAGCCTTCTTTGCCATGCATATATCAATATATGTATGGTGTCTTTAAATTCGTGTTAATTTAAAAGCATTAAACAATTTCCGTTAATGTTTTTCAAATCCATCTGTATGTGTATATATGTATACATTTTGGTAATGCATATACCTCATGTACATTATTTATACACAATTCTGTGTGCATTGTTTCATAGAGCTCCATAAATTCAGCAAAACAAAAAATATCAAGAGGAAAAATTTGAAAGCTGAATACTGAACATGAGCCTTCTTGGCCAAATACAAGTATTTGCTTGTCTATGGCCGTAGTCCTGAAAAATCTTTAAACTGCTTTATATTTTTATGAAAATGCTCCCAGTTTATATTATAGAACTCCTCGCATGTATAAATGCTTGAAGAGTGGAGGTTTTCAGAACCTGCTGTTAACAGAGTCTGTAATGTTAGTGCACTATTTTAGGAGAAAACCCTGTCAGGTGTTTGTAGACTGAGGGGATAAGATGGGATGCAGCAACTTTCCATCAGCAACAGTTAGTGCTCAGTGTCCTTTTGTTTAGTGCAAGCAATGTGCTTGACAGCATGCAAACCTAAAGGAAGATAAGAACACAGAAGGATTATTGCAAGCTAATTTAGACAATTAAGTATAGCTGGGATACAAATAATGCACACATTTACAGCTCAGTTGCATAGAGTTGTTTTCTTTTTATGATAAGTAGTTTATTTGGCTCCAAATTACCACTGACAAATTTTGCAGACAAATATGTTGCTAAAATGATTTGAAAATGAAAATATATCTCTAACTTCATGATCTTAAACTTTCTCTTTATCTTTTTTTCACCTGTACAAGTAGCCACATTACATTTGTCAAAACAGGTAAAATTGCCCATTAGAAGTGAGAAAAACAGCCTGCTGGGATTGGTGTTCCCATGTAAATTTCTAAGCTGTGTGTTTCAGTTTTAAAAATATGGAATGCTTTTGAAGATTTATCTACTTACTACTCTGTAAACTTACAGATAAAAGGATAAACTTAACTTGGAAAAATATTACTGTAATGAGGACCAGCTCTAGTTAGTACCTGTTCACAGTTTGGGTAATTTTTTTGGTGATGTTGTTTGCTTCTCTTTGGGGGAGGAGGGTGCGTGTGTGGTTTGTTTCTGTTAACTGCACAAGAATGAGTGTTTTCCAAAACTAGCGTGTATAGAAACTGTCCAGAGTTCACCTTAATGAATGGATTTATTCGGTTCTTTTATAGGCTTCCTCTGGTATTACCATTCCAAAGCCCCCCAAACCCCCAGACAAGCCCCTGATGCCCTACATGAGGTACAGCCGGAAGGTGGGTATACAGTGTCAAACAAGTAATAAAAGTTAGTGTTCATATGTGCTAACAATTAATTGCTATTATCTTAGTTTCAGCTTCTAAACTTTTACTTCTAACAGCCTGCACATTCTTTAAGGGAATTGTAAAGTACAGATGCATTGCCCTTCAGAATAAAGGCAGCAGTAGTCTGTTCATACAGTTGCCAATTTCTGGGGGGAAAAGTTTTCTCTAAAATGATAATTACTACCACTGTCTCTGCTGACAAGGATCCACCCTGCCACATTCAGCAAGTGCCTGTGACTTACTGACAGAACTTTTTTATATAAAGGAAGTATTCCTTGCGGTATACTGGGCTTGGTACAGTGCTGTAGCTGGACTGAAGAGTAGCAATGAGTGGACTTTGCATGTTCTCCTTCACCAACCTAGCCTGTGGCAACGTTTACTTCGCTATTCTATGAACTGTTTGACAGAAAGTAGGAGAGAGACTCTTGTGGAGTCTGAAATCTGATGGGGCATGGGGAGGGCATGTCAGCCTGTCTGAAGCGGGTGAGCCAGAAGGAAATTCTTCCACTTCTGGTAAAGTATCTTTACCAGCATGTCTGTCTTAGGCAAAAAACCATCAACAAAAATAAAAAAGTCAAGTGGCGCAGCAAGAAATAACACTGGCAGCTCTCTCCTTTTTTTTTTTTTTTTTTTTTTCCCTATAAAGTTAGAAACTTTTTTGGTGGAGTCAGAACTTGTTGGAACTCAAATTGATCAGCAAGACTGAAAAATATTTTGAAATATTACTTTCTGATCTGAAAAGCTCAGTGCTCTTTATCATAATCTACTGCTGGATGTGTTTACTCAGTAGCATTTTTTTTCCCAGAGATGCAGCGATGTGCATTTAAGAAGAGAATTAAGAGGGTTAAAGGCAATATTCTCATGAAACCAAAGCCATTTCAGCAATTGCCTGTTTCAGTAGATGGCTTCCTACTGACTTCCTGCCCCAGAAAATAATCGAGATAGTTTAGCCAGACTCATTCCTAACTTAATCCTGTTTTTCATGGTGATTCCAGAAAGAACACTGAGATGACAATATAAAATGTTTAATTTGGAAGTATTTAGATATCATTAGTAAAGCTCCAGCTGTTTCTGTTAAGGTCTGGGACCAAGTGAAGGCGTCCAATCCTGATTTGAAGTTATGGGAAATTGGCAAGATTATTGGAGGAATGTGGCGAGATCTCACTGATGAAGAGAAGCAAGAGTATTTGAATGAATATGAAGCTGAAAAGGTAAATGGAAGAAATCTGGGATGTTTATTACAGCTGATTCTTCTAGGAACTGGTCTGAGAAGAAAAATTCATCTTACCCATGCAGTGGTGTATGAGGCATTCACGAGACCCCTGTATGTAACTTAAATGGAAGTATGTCCTGACACGTCTTTTAGATTTTTTTTTTTTAAATAACTGTACATCAACTGTGACTGGTCAGTTTTTAGACCTAATTCAGAATGAAGTATTTATAATTGTCGATTTTAACTGTTTAATGAATGGATTTGATTGTACAACATCAGTATTGAAAAGATTGTCTCAACACCAGAATCCTCTTTCAAAACTGGTGGTCTGCAACTACTGGTATTGTCATGAACGTGTTCATAAAAGACTTCCAGTCACGTAGGGTTTGGTTTTCATGGTGTAATCTGGTGTAACTCCACACTATGGCATAGTATTTTGTTTCTTAATAGAAAAATGCTACCACTTTTAGGGTTTTCTTGTGGCTTTGTTTTGTTTTTATTGATCTTCATGACAAAAGATGACAGCTACCTCGTGTCTAGGTTGGTAAGTGTTGAGGACCTTTACAAGACTGTTACTGTGATTTTAAGGTACAAAGGGAAAATTGTCCAGCTGCTGTGTTGTGCTTAAACCTGGTAGGCATCTGAGGCTGTGTATAACCTGCTCAAATCTAAGCTGTTCTTATTCTAAGTCAATAGAGAAGTATTCCAAAGCTGGATGCTCTTAGTTGGGGAAAAAAAAAAAAATCAAGGAATTCTATTTTTTAACTTGGTAATTATGTTTAGATTGTAAGCTCCTTGGGGCAGGGGCCATCTTGTTTATATTTTTACAGTGCTTAGGTAGAAGGATTCCAGTCCTAATCATAAAGAAAACAAGATGTTTAGATACTCTTAACAATATTGTAGATTATATCTCATTGCTCATGGGAAATATCTCAAGTCACTGTACAAAATCTAGACTTGGAAAATTTTAAAAGTGAGATTAAAGAAAGTAATTCAAAGGGAAAAATACTTCAAAGAACATGAAGATAGTGATGCAGTCCTGCTACCAGGAGGAGACAGTAGTCTGGCTGCAGCATTCTGTATCGTCCCAGTGCAGGGATGGATCAAAGAACGGAAAAATCATAAGTTATTTTGAAAACTGATTCATGACATACTGGAATAAGGAAAGAGAAGAAATCAGAATCAAAGATCTAGTTAGAACTCCAGAGAATTATTGATAATATTTTAAGTTAACTCTTTTTTTTTTTATCTTCTCAGAGTTCGTCTGATCATAAATGCCTTGTTCTGAGGTGTTTGATTTTTAAATTTCAAAAAACAAAGCTATCGTAAGACTTACCAGGTATTGAAACTGAAATGTACCTAAAAGCCCAGCTAGTGTTTTTAAAACATGAATGACTATGGAAGAAGTCCTAATTTGTAAAAAGAAAGACTGAGATAATATGGTCATTTGTGTATCAGCCAGATGATGCAAAATAGCTTTGTGTAACTACAATTTGGGTTATACAGGCTACAGTTATGTCAAGTCTGAAATCGTCCAATGGTGCAATCAAACAATATTGGTCACATTTCAGATAGAGTACAATGAGTCCATGAAGGCCTACCATAACTCTCCTGCATACCTTGCCTACATCAACGCAAAAAGTCGTGCTGAGGCTGCATTGGAAGAAGAAAGCCGACAAAGGCAGTCACGCATGGAGAAGGGTGAACCTTACATGAGTATACAGCCAGCAGAAGATCCAGATGGTAAGCAGAAAGGAATTTGTATGCACGTCCAGTAAGACAGTCTCATTACAGGACTGACAGTATAGAGAAACAGACACCAGATACAGAAAACTACCAGTGTACAACTTTCACAATGCTTAATGTGACTTCCTTTCTATTTTGGTACCTTTAATACTGATTTTCATTACTACATTTTATTTCATACAGCTAACAGCTGACTTTGTCTTGTTTCCAAAAACTAAGGTGGCAAGCCAGTGGCAAAAGTTATTCCAACCCTTAATTATGTGTGAAGTAACGCTTACAGTTCAAAACAAATAAGTCTGCTTAAAGGTCTGTAATGGCTTTAACATATGCATTATAAAAGGCTTAGATGAGTGATTTAATCCAGCTTGAATGGAATTTTGTGCTTTATTACCAGAAGCACATAATTCTGACAGGTAGAGTTCTGGTATGATTAAGAGCACCTGAACTTTGAACGTGTTCAACAGCTGTCATTTGAGATTGTTTAGAAAGTAAGTTACCCTTGCTGTTGACAAGTTGATGAGAAAATTCTGAAAGTTTACTTGACTGCAAGGAAATGCACCCCACCCAGTGGGAAAACTCAGACGCATGCACCTAATGTCTACTTTTAAATTCATGACCAAATACTTGTTGAAACCTGAGGGTGAAAAATGTACTCAGTTACACCCTTCTTTTTTTTTTCTTCTGCCTTGTAAAAGCACACCCTTGAGATAAAGCTCATGACAAACAGCACTTTCCCCAGTGTGGGATAACTGCAAAATTTATGTAAATATATTTACTGTTCCAGTAGCTGGCATTTTGGGACTTCAAATTCTGTTCTGTGCTACCTGGGCCAAATGAACTCAGCCAGAACCAGCTGCCCTAGGCCCCGAGTTGCATTGGTTTACATCTGGGACAAAACAGCAAGTTATTTTCTGTGACAGGAATGTTGCTTCTGTCCAATCCTGCATGTCATTAAGATCAAGAACTTTTAGCATAAAAGGAATCTTACTAAGAGGACAAAGGCTCAACTTTAAGGATACAAATGTGCTTAATACTTTTGTCTCTTGCAAATCTTGCACCATTTTTCTCTTTTTGCTTCATTTAATCAGATACCTGAATGAGAAATTGAACATAATGCTTTTAAATAAAGGAGACAGCAACTTTCATTAAACTAGTTATCTTCTTTGGTAATATTTTCTGGCATGATATGTTGGGATTCTCCTTAAGATTTCTGTGAATAGTTAGAAAGTAATCTCCATTAAGAAGACTTGATGTAAAATTAATTCAACTTCCGGACTTTTCTTCATGACATCATCCTGGAAGATCATTCATACTTGTTGCTTAACTGATTTTAATACTCAGCTAAATATGAAATATACTCACAGAAGTTTCTTCTAAGTTTGTTTCCTCACCAATACTTAATGCTGTTTAATTACTGTGCTTTAAATTCTAATTAGTTTGAGTTGAATTTTTTTTAGTCTGTTTTATAAGTAGGTGCTTGATACCGAAAGTGCAGACTGTGTCTTGATTTTTATGTTGAAAGGCTTTGCCTGCTTTCTTTGAAGAAATACAAAAAAAATAGGAAGACTTCTGTCTTCTGTGGGCTGGAAGCTTTTTGAGTGCTGCTAGATACAGGAAAGAAAACGTTATTTAGTCATGCTTTGTAGCATCAAACTGAATTTTACTTCTAAAATGAGTACCTAGTACAGTCCATAATGCTGTAGTTCATGTTCTATTCTGTGACTAGATTAAAATAGTCAAAGTTCAGAATCTTGCCATAAATTGGAAGCTCTTTTAATTTGATTGGAGAGAATAAAAAATCCTTGACCTGAAATATTCTTAGATCTTTGTAGTTAATCCTCTAGATGCATGTCAGACAAGACAGTTTAGTTCCTTTTCAGCTTCTTTTAATTTCTTTTCTCTGCAAGAAGCTTATAAGGAGACCAGCACTTGACCTGTGTGCTTATGTACTTTTTCTCTTGAAGTGTATTTTTTTTTCAGTAATTGTTCTTTAGAGAACTGCATTTACTAAAAAAAAAAAAAATTATAAAAAAATTTAATACTCTTAGTACATTACTGTGAATTTTCAGTGATGAGTAAACATGTATCACTGCTTCATGCTTTCATTCCTCAGTGTTTAAAAAAAATAAGTCTTTTTGATCTGTGCTACAAAGCTTATTTATAAAGGAGTCACTCTCCTGTTGGTATTTTGCACTAGATATTGTTCTGGTAACATGATTAATCAGAAATGTTTGGGGTTTTTTTATTCAGTGTATTAATAGTCACTCTTACTCTGGAAACGTGTAAAGCAACACAGTAAATAGCTAGGTCAATCCAAATTTCAGATGTGGGAAATGCATGTGAAATCATAACTGTTACAGCTATGCCAGGGTAAATGGTGTTCTATTGTCATATAGTCTCTTTTTTTCTGATCACTTGATGTTCTGTATTTGTTAGTATGAACTTTGTGACATGACAGCAACTGGGGTTACGGTTTTTATTTTGGTTTTAACTAGCAGTAATGTGGGTACAGTGTCTTTATACTTGGTATTCATTTTGTGGAATTAAAGCAGTTACACTTAAAACTCTTGTTTCAGATTACGACGATGGATTTTCTATGAAGCACACAGCCACAGCTCGTTTCCAAAGAAACCATCGTCTCATCAGTGAGATACTGAGTGAAAGTGTGGTGCCCGATGTCCGCTCTGTTGTCACTACAGCTAGAATGCAAGTTCTTAAACGCCAGGTTCAGTCTTTAATGGTTCATCAGGTAAAGATAAATGATATGAAGGCAGCTAAAACATAATGGTGTCGGGCTGTACTCCAAGTCTCGGATCATTTGATCATCTACATGATTATTCTTGTTGGGTGTCAATGTTCTGTACGCTCAAATAGCTGATCTCTGGGTTTTCTTGGGAGTTGCAAGATGCGAGACTTCACCTTCCGTGCTGTTTCGTTATTGAGAATGTTAAACTGTATTTTGTTCTTTAGGATATCTTAATTCCATAGCTCTTCATTATTATACATAACCTTTCTGTATGTAGTGTCAGTAAGTCTTCTGTTTAATAGGTACTGGTAGAGTTGTGACTTTTGGCTAGCTTATGACTCATAATCTTGTTTGTAATGACTCTTTATTATAGTAAATTGTATTGTAACATTTTTCATTGGAAGTTAAATGCATACAGGGAAATCTAGTGAGGTCACACTTGCACATTTCATCTAGCTTTGACTGGGCACATGCCTGTATTTTCCAAACATGCATGTTAACAAAAGAACCCTGTGAGTATAGTCAGTGTGCGTGTAGGTGAAGAAAACTGAGACACCGGAATTAGATAGAGATTTGTTGCTTTTTTTAATCAACAAAGGAAGATTCGGAGGGTGGACATGGGTGGTATCCCTTCTTTCCTTTGAATTGTGGTCTTTCTGCATTAGAGAATGTAATTGATGTGTTGTGTGTATATATATACCTATGGGGTGTATAATATGAAAGAAAAAGTGTAGATTTTATGCTGGAAGGTTCACCTCAGGTACATACTGTTCTTCATTTATAATATGCCTAGCCAATCCTGAATTACTGCATAGACCCATTTATTGTTCATACTTTTCAATATGAACTTCTTGGCTATTGGGCATTGGATCAAGGCAGGCATAAGGATGTTTATATATTATATGGGTACATTTAAAAATATTGGTCTAAATATTTTTGTACATAGCTGTAAACGTTGTCCAGTTCTTCAGATGACTGCATAGTAAAGTTCTTTCCATTTATTTCATTTCCAGCGTAAACTAGAAGCTGAGCTTCTGCAAATTGAAGAGCGTCACCAGGAAAAGAAGAGGAAGTTTTTGGAAAGCACAGAATCCTTTAACAACGAGCTTAAAAGGGTACAACTCTCGCTTTTCTCCACTTATTCTGAGGAATCTGCTAGTTACCCATTTGTACAAATGCTCTACCTGCTTCTGTTTAGTTCTGTATTCAATTATGTATAATTACACAACTGATTATGGCAGTGTCCTAGCGTGTGGGTGTTAGAAAGCACGCGGTATTTGTATTATTTCCTGCTCCTTCAGTGACCTTTAGTGGTGACATTCAGCCAGTACAGTTTAAAAGTGCCTTCAGGCTTGACTGGTTGAGCTCACTAGAGAGCAGCACAAGGCAGTTGGCCTAAAGCCACTATGGAGACCATACTGCTCTGTCCTTGACTGTGTTCAAATAACAAAGTTTAGGTTATTAATTTATCCCCCCTTTTTTTTTTGTGTGTGTGTAATATGCTTCTATCTCCCTCCCTAGTTACTGAAGCTTTTAATACAAACTTTGTCAAATCAAAAGCATTATGCTGCATGTAGAAATACTGAACTCATAATTGGGTTTTACTGATATTTTGTTTTTCAATGTAACTGAGGTAGTAAAAGAGCTTTCTTTTTTGTTTGTTTTTGCTAGTTATGCAGTTTGAAGGTGGAAGTAGACATGGAAAAAATTGCAGCTGAAATTGCTCAAGCTGAGGAACAGGCTCGCAAGAGGCAGGAGGAAAGGGAAAAAGAAGCAGCTGAGCAAGCTGAACGCAGTCAAAATAATATAGCAGCTGAGGAAGAACAGGCAGCTAACAAGATAGAGGAGAAGAAAGAAGAGGAGAGTGCTCCAATGGAGACAGGTAACTGTATTTGAAGACCAGCTTCAGAATCCTTGAAGGATCAGCATTAAAGTACCTCTGTAGACGCTCAGCCTTAGCCAGGAGTGCCCTGTATTTTTGCTGTTAGTAGGAAGGAAGGCTTCAGAAGAACAATGTTCTGAATTAACTTCATCTTGGTGACCACAGGTGTTTGCTGCCTTCTCATTAAGTTGCTCCTTTTTAAAAGGGGAGAGGGTAGGATACCACAAAGCCCTATGTAATGCTTTGTGTGTAATGTGCCTAAGGGGAGAAAAAAAAAAGCTTTCTAAACCTAACTCACCTTTTAGACATCGGTTAGCTAGGAGCAACTGAGAGTGTTTCCTTGTCCCAGTGTCAGCATCTAGCAAGGATGATAGAACAGCACTTCCTTCCATGCTGCTCTTACGAGCGGATTTGCAGGCTTTTGGTATTCTGTACAGTGACATTAGAAAATACTGTTGTGTTTAAAAGAATCAGTGGCTAATATCTCAGTGAGTCATTGCCATAGCAGCATGAGCATAAGGGAAAGGGGACCAAGGAGTTTGAATTCTAGTGCTTCTGGTTTAACAAGGCACATAGCTTTCTTGTGGCTAGAGTTCTGAGGACAGGCAGCTGCAGGTGACTTTCAAGGATGCTGTGTGGCAGGACCATGTACATCCAGAGCACTGAGAGGTCTTTCAGAGCTGTGCCTGTTACTGCATATGCTAAGTGACAGAAATAACTGCTGTGGAGTACTTGGATTTATTACAGATTGTTTTTTCCTAAATTCTAATTGCACAACCTAAAAAATGTATTGGCATGTAAATGACACTGAGACATATCTTATTACAGAAGAGCCTCACCCAGAAGAGAGCACAGAAAACCAGCAGAATGGTGAAGAAGGAACATCTACCCCAGATGATAAGGAGAGTGGCCAAGAAGGGGTCGATAGCACTGCAGAGGAGGGAACCAGTGATAGCAACACTGGTTCAGAGAGCAATAGTGCAACAGTTGAAGAGCCTCCTGCAGACCCTATCACTGAGGATAGCGAGAAGAAAGAATAAATAATGACTCATTTCATGTGTCTCTTTTTAATGAAGTACTGTTTTGATTTCAAAATGTGCTACATGGCTTTTGTATCTTCCTTGCCTGTATCACTTGTCTCCAAAGGATACTGGGTTTTAATAATGTCAGATTATCAGCACAGCGACATAAAGGGGCCTTTAGAGACGAAGGGGATCTTGCAACAGACAGAAAACCTCATGTGTCTAAACACAGCTGTTAGAATATGGAGAGGTACTTACTATTGCTTGGGATTTCTTCCCTAGAAAGATAAGCATTGGTTTTGGTTTTTGTATTAGAAGTCAGGCCTTCTCCCTTTCTTCTAGTTACATGACAACAGTGAAAATGTAGTTGTTCTCAAAGGCCCTTCTTGTTCATTTGTGGCTGAGGTGAGATGCGGATGTGAGTCACCTCTCTGCCGTAGCCCTCCTGACCTGGCTTTACTGAGGGGCTGCCTCTGCCCCAACATCTGGTTAGTGCAGCATGAGGTCTGCAGCCGGGATGCTGGTGCTGTGGCCATGGAGGCTGATGAAGTAGCACAGTTGAGAAATGTGGTTAATGACACTCGCTTTCTAGAGAGGTCAGAGTGTTACTGAGGCGTCTTAAAGTTGACATTAGTATTAAGCAAAGACATGATGCCTGTACTGGTATCACCTAGAGCATCTCCTTCATCTAACAAATCCAAAAAAACCCACAGCAGTCTAGCACACGTTGCCACCACTGCTTCAGTTCTTGCCGGTGAGGATGTTTACTGCAGCTGCCCATTCTTTGCTTTTACAGAAAGCATTCAGTACTCAAGAGTGGTGCTCCTAAATAAGGCTGAAAGACTTGATCTTAGTGGGGGGGTTGGTGTAATCTTTGTTATCTTTTACAGAGTAGCTGTTCTACAGCGATGAAAACTTGCTCATGTTCTGCATGCAGCATTTCAGGAGATATATTTCCAAAGGACTGAGTATAGTCTTGAGGTAAACCACATATCTTAGGGTTTTTTCTGTGATGCAGGATTCTTTTCAACAACAGTCTTTGCTTTTCTTTACCATTTAACTGCTGTATTTGCTACTATGATACCCTGGTATGATCTCAGCCAGAGATATGGCAAACTACGAAGCAGGAGAGCATTTAAACACATACATGTTCTCTGAGCAGGCAGTCACTAATGTGGCACAAATGGTAAAAAATAGTAGTTTTGCTTGCCATGAGCTTTCAAAACCTCTGGGAACTCTACAAATGTACTGAAAAGGCCACATTTTGCCCTATATAAGCAGAAGCCCTGCTGAAGAAAAGAATACACTTGATTGCAACAAGAGATACAGGCCGTTCCATGACTTTACAAGAGAACACATGATGGATATGCTTCAGTAAACTAGTATGTTTTTACAGAATAGTGGGTATATCGGATGGTAATGTTTTTTAAATCCTTTTGGTCTTTTTTTTTAAATGGTTTAAAAATAATAAAATCCAACATGTTTGGTTTTTTTAAACTTACAGTGGTCTGGTTCTTGTCTTTTAAGGTAATGCCTGTATTTGATTTAGGGCTTTCATCAGCTGTTCTCCATTTTAAGCCCAGAGGAGGATAAAACTGAGGAATTCATTACTGAAATACACTACATACAAAAAGTTACGCTGCAAAAGCACTTTGAAAACCAAAGTAAAAATTCCGGAGTTGCTCTAAGCTTTTGCTGAAATGCTGGCTCTGTCTAGAAGGATCTCTGATGATGGCTGTTGACTTTAAAAGCCAATGAATAGGAGAATTTGTAGAGGAAATAGTGCAAGTATTAGTGAGCTTGTAGTCTCTTTGCCTCTGAGCTTTTAACCACTTTCCTCCAAGCTATCAGAAATAATTTTCATGTTACTTTAAGCCAAGTAAAATTTCCTACCTAAAGGGCTGAGAGGTTGGCATTTACAAAAAGTATTATAGTTGCAAGATACAAAGAGGAAGATGCAATTGTCCAAATACTTAATATCTGAAGCCAACTTTGCTGATTAACTGTTTTGCATTCTCCCTGATGCAGAAGATTTCATGAGCTGATTTGGGCCTTTATTTCTGCTTGGAAGCAGTTATTAAAGCAGGCACTCGTACACACACTAAACAGCTTCTTCAGAGTCTCTGCCTCATAGTTTACAATATCATTTCCTACTCCAAGTAAACCTTTCAGCAGTTGGTGCTAAGTGGAAGTTCCTTGTTCAAGTGCCTGCTGTTAGAGTGTGCTGGTTTTTCTACAAAATAGTATAATTTAGTGTAATTCTAGAGAATAATTTAAATGCTTACTGTAGATATTAAGACTAACACCCCCCCAAACAAATGTGTGCCAGGCTCTGCACTGCACCTACTTTTCCCCAGTGGGCAAATCTGAACGTGCCTGTTCAGGTGCTGAAGGAGAACGTAGATGTGGACAATCAAATCAGTTCCTACAGACAAGGTTACAGCTTACTCACATCTGCAAACACACGGTCACTTTTATCTACCAGTGACTGCTGCTGAAAGGATTGTTGCAAAACACAACAGAAATCAGGAAGAAAATCACCAATGGCAGCCTTCCTCTGATGAGCGCTGTCACACAATGAGATACGTACGTGGGAAGGCTTGTATTTTCCTCATCTTTAAGTAAAAGTAGGAGTTCCGATACTAACGTGGTTTTTGGCAAAGGTGGACACAAAAAGAACCCTCTTATGAGGAAACAAACCATGGCTGCTCCTTAATTTCGGTTTTAAAAAATGGAAGCAGTGAAACCTGCTTAAAAATTAAAGTAATTTTAAATTCAAAATTTCAGTTTCTTGGAAGAGTGGGCAAATTGTTCTTGCTATTATGTTTAAGCACTTGCAGTTGTACTAGTTAAATTGCATTTTAGGAGTTTCCATTTCCAGCAATTAAAAGGATTGCTTTTAGAAAAATACATCTTGAGGAAGCTAATGGAAGTGGTGTTCCCATCAGCTGAGCTCCCTTTAACAAAGCATTTTGACAATACAGAGATTGCTTTACATCTTAAGCTACACATCTGAAGATCTATTTACTGCATTTTGCTATTTTGAAAAATAATTTTCTTGAGTGATTGATCCTGCCAACATAAAGCTTTGGTTTCTTAAATGATACCAGCTGCTGCCTGGACTGGGGGCCTGACCACACAGGGGCTCAGGTGGAGTCGGTTGGTGCAGGAGCAGGAAGAGACTCCGCACCTCCGGTGCTGCGAACACTGGTTGTGCAACAGCCTTGGGTTTTGAAGGCTGTCTGTGCTTTTCATCTGCTACCTATTCCCAAGGTGTATGTAAATAACAGTAATTATTGGCAAAGACAGGGTGTGTTGCAGCTAAGGGTGTGTACCCAAGTGAGTAGGTGTCATCTTCAAGGGTAAAATATCTTTTCTGAGCACATGAAAACCTCCTGAACAAATGCCCAGTGGGTACCGTTTGAACACTGACCAGCCCCTGTGGTGCCGGCAGTGCAAGGGACACGAGCATCAGGGACCAGGTGCAGGAGAGGGACCTCCTCGACGGACCGGCCTTGTGAGAAACCCGTCTCCTTTGCGCGCTCCTGCTGCAGCCCTTTCTCAGCCCCGCTGCTCCTTGGGCTGCGGCCGGGACCAGGAGCTCGATGCCTACTTGACACCTGTGGCTCGCTGGCTACCAACGCCTCTGACGGAGAGCAGCTAACTGGAGCTCCTGATGAGCCAGCACGCCCACCTGGAGGTCCTCAGCAGGACCTGAAACCCTCCCACGAGGAAGATGGAGCAGATACAGCCCACCAGCTTGTTGTGCCGTTGCTGCTGGGCTCGCTGAGTTGGCCGTCTGCTTCCTCCATTTCTTGGGTGCTTCGTTTGGCAAGTGGGTGGAAGCTCCTGGACCCCTGGGGCTTCTTCTTCCTCCAGCTGTGGTGGGGGTCCCCTGGCTCCTCCGGTGGGGGGGTAGATGTGGGTGCAGGCCGGTGATCTGGGGTGGTGTGGGGACCGCTGAGGGTGCCTGTACTGCTGGAGGCAGAGGCCAGGGGTCCCCTCTGGGGGTGCTGAGCCATCTCCCGTGGGGTGCCTGGGAGCTGGGGAGTCTTCCACACCCACAGGGGACTGACAAGGAAATGAAGAGGCAAATCCAAAACATTGCATTGTGGCGAGGGAGTTGTTTTCTTCAGTTTGTTTTTCTCTTCAAGAAAAAACAGGCTTTTTTTGAGAGTCTGACTCATGCTTTGTGACCTCTGACATCACCACGGCTCTGCTGTTTGCTGTTTGGTTTGTTCTGCAGGTAAAATCAAGTAGGCAAAGGTTCTCTTCTGTATTGGGTAGTTCTCAAAAATATGCTTTTATCTCACCACAAAAATACACTTAGTAAAAGTTATTAAGAAACCTGGGTTAAAAAAGATTGCTCTAAAGTTTTTTTGTGTTTTGGGGGGTTTTTTTGCATTAATGTAACTGTTAGATTTTTATCATCCCAAAAACCTTCTGACCTACAAAACAGAAATATAACAACAGGTACATAGCATGAAGCAGGCCCCAAAGGGTAAATATTGAAAGGTATTTAGATGTTAAAATACAAACCAGGCACCTTGTGAGATTGTTCAAAAGCAATTTGACGGGCAAAGTGCTTCACTCCTAGAGGAATCCAGAGGACTTAGCCTCTTAAGAGCTTTATGCACCTAAATACCCTTTCAAAGGACTAACCTACATACATGATTGAGGTTAGCTTCCTGTGAAAGACAAGTCTCATGTCTGTATAGCAGCTAAACTTTAGGGGGGGAAAAAAAAAGCTTCTGGAGGAACTAAACAAGGGTTTAAAAAAAAATAATCACCTGTGCTTCACACGGGATAGTCTCGCAAAGCTAATCTGCTTCAAGCAAAGTGAGGACTTCAACTGTAGAAGCTGTGCTTACATAAAGGATTATTCCTATGATAGAAATAAAACAGATTAATAGAGCTTTAGAGGGATAAAATATCAAAGTAAAACCAAACCTTGGCACAGATGGGAGGCCACAGCAGCTTGCTGTATGTAAGGAAAGAGGAGCTGCCCTTCAAAGCATTGTGTTGCGCTGATGCACAGCAGCTTTGAGCAGAAGTGGGAAAACCCTGTTTCCCCCTTAACCTCAGGGCAGGTGGAGCAGGTCTAGAGCCCTGCGAGGGGAGGTTAACCCCGAGACACGCACACTTGTGTGGCGATAAACCTGGGAGTGAGGGAGCCTCAGAGAAGGGGGGATGTGTTGATGAGCAGTATGTTTTCCTGGGCTATGGGGAGCCGGGTTCAGACCCTCTCTCTGCTCAGTTCAAAGCAGGCATTTGATGAGGTCTCTCATCTGTCCCGTGGTGTGTTTTCTCATTTCTCACCAGCTGTAAGTGCTCCACTTGCAGACCAGCTTCTGTGCCTACCCTGTCTCAAGGAGTCAGTGATGGTTTATTTCTCCTTTTCTTCCTCCCAGGCTTTGTCCTAAACTCCCAGCTAGGCAGGCTTTGCTTTTCATTTAAAAAGAAAAAAAGCTATTTTGGATTTTTTCTCAATTTAGCAAAGGCTACTTAAAGAAAATGCCTTCAGATCGGCCATCAGTCTAAAAACCCTGTGCTGACACAGGGCTGTTAAGACTGCCCTGTCCTTGCTCTGCTCCTTTGCTTACCTCTCCTTCCATCCTTGGAATTGGCAAACGTTCCCAGCAGTCCTAACTGCTGCAATATTGAGAAAAATACTCCTCATCACCGATTCAAGACGAGGATTGGTGCAGGTTATGTGCTTGCCGAGGTGGATGAGCTGGAACGAACGCTGCCACCAGGAGTCCCTCTTACCCTCCCTGCCACCGCCTGCCTGCAGACACATCGAAAAACACACGGTCTTACCCTTGGTTGCAAATT